CTCGCCCCTCCAGGCTGACTCGCCCTGCCCCCGGCCTCCCACAGGGTGCAGGAGGGAGACAGGGGAAGCTCATTTCCCATGTGGAGGTTGCCAGGGTCCCGCCCACGTCTCCACAGCTGCTCCCCGGCCCTGCCCCGGGCTCCCACCAAAGCGCACGGGCCGCCCAGGCTTTACCCCGCGGCGCTCACCTCGAGGATCCAGTCGGAGGCGTCATGGATCAGCATGACCAGCGTGCCGATGCGCAGGTAGTTGGCGCAGTAGGAGAAGCTGATCAGGAAGATGGTAACTGCGTGGTGCACAACCTGCTGACGAAGGTCCTGGTGGGGAAGGGATCAGAGTGTGCGGCGGCGATCACAGCGCAAGAGCCACCTCTCCCCCCGGGCACGGCGAGGCGAGACGCAGCTCCCAGCCGGCCACGACCACGGCCCGGCAGCCGAGAACTCCCTGATGGCGGCGAGAGGGAGGATAACCCCCCACGAGAGACGGGCGAGCAATGCAGACACAGAGCTCCTGTCCCACCCGCAGGACTATGAGAGCGCCCGGGGCCCGAATCACACGTAGCCAGGCCAGGCGCCAGGGTCAGGGCCCGGCAGAGGGCGGACGCTCACAGGCTCGCTGTCTGGCACATGAACTTGGCAAAGGGCTGGCGAGGAGACAGGCTCCTAAATCCCACTAGCCCTGCTATCGCGCTCCTGGGAACGTGCCAACCGGAGTCAGGCCGGGGGGAAGGAGTAATCGGGGGGTCGAGGCAGCAGGTCCCGGACACAGGGCTGGTAACTGCCTGCATCGGGGTGGGACACGTAACTCGTCTGCAGCCGCATACACGGCACGAGGCCTGTGCCACGTGGACACAGACCTGGCCGAGCCTGTGGCCTTTCTGGGCCGTGCTGTTGAGGTGTCTCTCTCTCTGCTAGGCAGCGCCCCGGCACGCACGGCTCTAGCCCCCCCAATGGCACGTGGGGGCGCAGGGACGCCAAAGGAAGGAGATGGTGCCCAGAGCAACGGTGTGGCAAGAGCTGCCCCCACCGCAGGGTTAGGAGGCCAAGAAGGGAGGAGGTTGCATTTCAAAGCGTTGCTCCCTCTGAGTCAGGAAGGGCAGGGCAGTTCTCCTGCTGAGTCCGCTCGGGGAGATCTCTGGCCACATCCCAGACGGTAACGAACGCCCGGGGCCCGGGACCCGCCCTCCTTTCGCAGGCCAGGCACAGAGCGAGCGGCGCCACCACTGGCAGCAGCCACTTGGGCAGACGACACTTGCCCCTTCCAAGCCAAACCTCTGCAGCTGCAGGGCCCACGCGCTTGGAAGGGTCAGAGACACGTCCCCCCGGCTCCGTGGACGCCCACTGCGGGGCGCTAGACGCACTCGGATTAAAACCGAGCGTCGTACGTGAATGGAGCTAGCAGCTCGGTGGCGTGACCGTGCCCTGGCTCGGCGCCAGCACCCGCTTTGGCAACTGCTTGCAAGACTCGCATTCAGTCCGGGGACGTGCAAACGGTTAGCGGGCGAGGCCGGAGCAGCGGCAGCAGCATGCTCAGTTCTTGCTTGTGCTGGGTCCAGGAGCTCAACCCCCTCCCTCTCCCTTGCCCCAGACAGGGTCTGGTTTTAAAACTGGCTCCCTTTGCAGACCAGCTCCCTCCTAGCACCCTGCACTGCTGCCTCTGATATGGAGGCAGCAGCACCAGGGGCAGGGGCTCTGCTGGAGCTGGCTCCCCGCCCCCATGTGTAACACGTTTACCAACCCCCCTCCCCAATTTAGCGTCCCTCATTCGGTACGTGCCTCGACCGCTGCTTGTGTCTGCCCCGACGGATGACACCTGGCTCTGGGGGCAGGAGACCGGGGGCCTGGCTTGGCTACAAATAACCCAGCGTCCTGGTTTCAGAAGTGCCGTTCCAAGTCAAGCAGACACATGCAGCAAGTGAGCTACTGGTCCCGCTCAGAATCCGGGGAAAGGGCCATTCCCACCCCGGCTGCAGCGCCTGGACGCGGGGCAGCTCGAACCGGCCAGACTGGCCACTTTTGAATCTCCGTGGCGCATTGGCACAGCCAGCGAACTGACCCTTTTCCCGCGTCGTGCCCCGGGCCGGGCCACTCACCTTGCGCTTCACGTCGAAGGGCAGCGTGCAGACCAGGGAGGAGTAGAAGGAGAGCTCCAGCATGTAGTACCAGAACACCGAGGACAGTAAGGGCTGCAACACCAAAGGGCCGGGCTGGGTCACACGCACGTGCCAGGGACCGAGGGCGCGGGGAAAGGTCTCCCACAGATGCTGTGGGAGGAGGCAGGTTGCCCCGGGGCTCCCTGGTTTTGGAGTCAGGTCTGGTCTAACCCGGCGACTGGTTTGAATTCTGGGTGCCTGCGGGTCTGGGACTGTCAGCCAGGCCCGTAGCACACGGGAAGGGGCGTCCCTGCATGTCACCACCTGCGACAGACTCACCTGCTGTGGATACCCGGCCCAGCATTCTCGATGGTCCCAGAACCAGGGCTTCTGTAAAGAAACACAGCACAGGGCCTGAGAATGCCAGCGGCCCCGTGGCCTGGAGGGACACGAAGCCACCCGGGGTATTCGCACCGACGCTCGGCGGGAACGAGCTTCCTACAGAACAGCCCCTGGGAGGCGTCGTTTGGAAACTAGTAGCTTGCTCCTGGTTGGTCTCAGGGTGCCATGTACCACCCGCCAGCCGAGTCCCCCTCGACTGTGCGCTGCACTATGGAAGTGGGGCAGAACCCCCAGTTCTCTCTCTCACCCAGGATGGCAAAGGAACCAGCACCTGTGGGCACCAGGGAGGGATCCTGACCAAGGATCTTCATGTTGGACGGCTGTGGGTGAGACACGACCAAGCCAGGGCCCAAACCTTGCCAGATAAAGTTCAAGTTTCCACTTGTATTTGCTTGTCACCTTTTCTTCGACTTGAATTCACTTAGAACCCCCTCACCTTCCATTACTAAACGTGTTCTATTTTATAGCTAGCCCAAAGCAGTGCATGTCACCCAGGGATACGGACTGGCGCTGGAGGGGCGGTGGGTGGGGTGGGGACACAGGACATAGGAACGGGGAAAGCACTCTCTACGCACCAGAGAACTGAAATCTGACCCTGAAAATGAAGCCAGGCTCTCTGAGCCTCACCCTGCTCAGCTGACAGTAGATACTCCTGATCACACTGGCCCAGGATGAGTCTCATTTCCCTCGAGTGAGTCCAACTAGAGGACAACAACCTACTACTGCTAGCCATTAGCTCAAGTGGCAAAGGTACATCCACCCTGCTGAGACCCACATGGGTCCACAGGATGAAATTTGTATTTTTGCAACCGGCTGTTTTTAGAAACGTGTGGCATCTTGTTGACTAAAAACACAAGAAAAGAACGTTAAGTGCAAAGCCAGGCACTCCGAAGTCAGGACGTGCTCACGGGGAGGCCATCTGCGCGCGCAGAGGGGACCGAGAGCTTTGGGCATTGACGATCTGCTTGAAACCCTTCACATCCAGACTGGAACGGGAGCTCAAGCCAAGCCCGAACGTGGTTCCAGCTGGTGGCTGACGTGCACTGCAGAAGGTGTGAGCGCTCCAGGCCAATCTACCATTTCAGCTGATGCGAACGGGCACCGCCTAGATACTCACATCCAGCAGGACAGCCAGTCCAGTGAAGAAAGAGACGAAGTAAAACGCAAACCTCCAGCTACAAACAAACAGAATGAAGCATGTTAGGATGCCGCCCGAGGCCAGGCTGCAGCTCCGGTGCCCGTCAGAGGTTCATTCCAACAGTGACATTCTCAAAGGCACGTGGGCGGGGCCGGTACCAAACACCCATCCAGCTGGCAGTACACGCTACTTGTACTTTGCATGGCTCAAGGCTCTCAATGCTCACAGCAAACAGCAGTTGCTCAGCCTCATGGAGGATAGGAAAGTATCATCTCCACTCTACAGATGGGGAAACTGAGGCACAGTGTGGAAGAGACGGCCCAGGATCACTTCGAGACTAAGGGCTGGGAATACACCCCATCTCCCCTGAGTCCCAATCCCAGGCAGAAATCCGGCTCCAGGAATCCATGGCAAAGCTCCCATTGACGTTATTAGAACCAGGACTTCGCCAGGACATTTAATTCCCTCATTGTAACTCTCCAGGTGCAAAGTGTCCCTCAAGCTACCTCCAACCCAATCCCTCCTCACGTGTCCGCCCCCCTGCGCCCAGTCTGGGACTGGTGGAGGGGACGGGTATGGGGGAAGTGGCGTCAGCTGCAAACCCAGGCTCCTTCTCCTCTCCCACCCTGACACACACAAGGGCCCGGCTCGCGGGCCACAGCAGCCACGCATCAGCATGCGACCCTGGCACACCAGGCAACGGGAGCAGCAGAGACTAAGGGTGTTACTGGATCTGTTCCTTTGTTTTTCTCTTCCTCCGACGTATGGAAACCGCCGCTCGCTCGCTCACAGGCCTGGCTGGCGGCAGAGATCCACCATGTTACATACAAGAGCTTCAGCTCCCGGCCCTGCCCACAAGAGATGGGCACCCAGAGCAGGAAGGTGGCACAGAGCCAGCGGGGGGGGGGTGTCGCAGGCTGGGCTCTTGGTGCCCTGGCCGGTGTGGCTGGGAACTGGACAGGATCTGGGATCCTGTAGCCTGGGATTCGAGAATGGGTGAGCGGGGAGGCTGTGCCGGCCCCGTAGGAGACATGGGGCTCAGTGCTTGGCTAGTACCCACCAGCTGGGCCCAGGGGAAGCGGGCCCCTGGGAGCCCAGCTGGCGATTAACTAAAACCCTCTCAGACTGGGGTTCACTAGGGCACGTCTCCACGGACACTCGACTGTGCTGCAGCTTTCCAGCTCAGGGTGCGACCCCCCCGGGTGCGGCAAGCGCTGCCTGCTCCCTGCTTGGGGCTGGGAGGAGCCCAGGCCGGAGGGAGCCAGTCCAGGGGCTAAAGGGGAGGGAACAGCGAGGACTGGGGCTGAGGGGAAGGAGGCAGCTCAGAAAGCGGGTGGCGAAGCAGAGAGGGGGAGGACACGTTCCAGCAGGGACTGGAGGTGTCCGGGGGGCCGGGCGCACGTGCAGAGCCCAGCCCCCAGTCCCCAGCACTCACCTGGCCTCGCAG